CACGGGGAGTATTCGAACCCACGACCAGGCCACCTATGAACTGATACTCTACCAACGGAGCCACGCAGGCGAGATGGAAATGATGCAGCGGACAAGCCTATCTGCACTGCCGCTCAACGCCTGAAAACACATTGCCAGAAGAGCAGAAAAAACGTTTTCCGTCGGGGATCCGAACCTGCGGACATACACACGCCGACTGGGCACTTTACCAAGGTAGCCACGAAGGGTATATGTTAAATTGTGCTTCAGGGGTCGAGCCAATCTACGATGTCTGTGGCTGCCACATAGCTGTGGCCATAAAAACGGGAAAAATGGGCCTGAGATAGTATTCGAACCAGCAACCAACCACATGCCGGGCCGGCTTGCTACCGATGTATCCACAGAGGAACGACAGTGGCGTACGTTCCGGCGACATTCCGATCTCAGCTGTCGCTGATGCCCAAAGACATGACCAGCGGAGGGGGAAAAAAGTTCCACGGACGGGATTCGATCCCGAGAGCGAGGGTGTCCCCGGGCACTGCCCCGGCACGCTCGCCACTCGGCTGTCGGCTCCACATGTAGTTGGAGAGTTCAGAACTCGGTGCTGCTTTACGGGTCTTGGTCTCCCGAATTACACGCGTTCAAGTCGGGTCAAGTCCACCTCCTTGACGCGCTGCAGCCCGGGTCGAAATCTTGGCCAAAAGGCCAATAAATGCACGTTCCGCTAGCCTAACCTAACCTCCTCGCGCCCGGGGGGCTCTTTTACTGGCCATTTTCCTTGTTTCTGGCCAGGAGTCGACCCGGGCTGCAGCGCGTCGAGGAGGTGGACTTGACCCGACCTGAACGCGTGCAGTCCGGGAGACCAAGACTCGTAAAGCAGGACCGAGTTATGAACTCTCCGCTGACAAGTGGAGCTGACAGCCAAGTGGCGAGCGCGCTGCAGCGTGGGCACCAAGACGCCGTCGGCCCAGGGGTCGAGTCCTGGTCGGGGCCATCTGTTTTTTTTTGGGGGGGGGGGGCTGCAGAACAGCCGATCAAGTCCACCTTCCCATGTCGGCTGGTCTTGTGTCCTAACCCTTGGTCCCCACGCCGCAAACTACTAAATGGGAAAAAATGAGCCCCGGTCAGTATCCGAACCCACGACCATCCGCGTCCCGGGCGCGCGCTCTATTAACTGAGCCAATGAGGCTTTTGGATACATGGAGCTTATCTCCGCCGTGGCTCACACCTCGAAACACATGGCCGGCAGAGTGGCAAAAGGGTTCCGTCGACTAGATTCGAACCAGCAACTGTTTGCGTACCGGCCCATCACATCAGGTGTCGCACGGCTGTAAAGTCATGGCCAGCGGAGCGCGAAAAATATCAACCGGCCGAGATTCGAACCAGCGACCAGGGTCATACTGGGCCCGGACGCTACCGACTTGGCCACGACGGAACACGATACGAACACTTTCGGCGGCATCCAGATCTCAGCTGTGAATGACGCCCGAAGACACTTGGCCAGCAGAGCAGGAAAAATGATCGCGGACGGGATTCGAACTACCGACCATCCCCACGACCTGCCAACGATCACGCTTGAACACGCTCGGCTACTCGGCTACCAGCTTGCTCCTCCGGGGCCGAGGTCTGAGCTCGGTCCTGCCTAACGGGAGACAAAAAGCGACAAAGAAAAAATTTGCCCCGCCCAGGAGTTGATCTTAGGGCCGACAGTTTTGGTTCGGATGAAGCTGCATGCGGTCATGTCGACTGTAGCTACAACTGTTTAAGTACAAAAGGGGCGTGTGGCTGTTGGCGTCGGACATCGTATGTTGCCCCATTTGTGACCACATTTTTGTGTCCATGAACAGGGACGTGTCTACTACCACTCTTGTCGCCGCGACACGAGTTGTCGCGAGTTGTCGCTTGGACGCCTGCAAGGTAGGCCACGGCTTCTCTCTAAGGCGTCTGTCGTGACTGGGACTTTGGGTTTCGGGCTCCATTTGACCCCAGGCTCATAAATCCTTTCTAAACCTAAGAAGTGACGCCGTGTCATTCTAGGCGTGGGTCGATGATTGTCGCTGAAAACGCCTGGAGGGTAGGCAATGCTTTCCTGAATCGGGCCCCCGCGGCCCCCTGTCCCTCCGAGCTCTTGGACAAGGCGAGAGCTTCGGAGAGGCATTGATATCTTTCGTTTTCGCTTTAGTTCTTAGCGCTGTTTACTTCTGGTTGATATTCTAGCATTGGCGGATGTAATGAATTCGTCTTTAGACGGTTCAGTTTAAGCTGACTCAGGCACTGTCGGCTGTAGCTACAATCGTGTAGCTACAAACAGGGATGTCGACCCTACAGCTAGCGCCCGCGGACGGGAAGATATTCGCCCGCCAGGCACGCGCGCCCAACAGGGTGGCATACCCCGCAGGCGCTGAGGCCGGGCCGCTGGCGCTGGGACACGCCCCTGTTTTCGAAGATCCCTGCAGATCCTTTTTCGGGCAACATATAATATCCGTCGCCCCCAGCCACACGCCCCCTTTGTAGCTACAATCGACACGGCCGCATGCAGCTACACCCAGAAAAATAGTTTCTTGATTCAAGTGCAAGCCGACACAAGATGAAATTCACCATTGAAACAAGGCAATATTGTCTTCGGAATATGATTTTTCTCTTATTCGAAAGAAAATATCAGCTTGTTTCAAGAGTAAATTTGATCTTGTGTCAGCGTGCACTTGAAACAAGGAAAAATTTACTTGAAACAAGAAACGATATTTCTGGGCGTACATCCGAACCAAAACTGTCGGCCCTGAGATCGACTCCCGGTCGGGGCAAACGTTTTTAGCTGATGATACCTTAAAAACTCTTAGACTAAACATAAAGAATAGACATTTTAAAGACAAAATTCGGAGATACGATAGAGCCGCGTAGGAGACATCGTAGAGCTCTACTCGAGTCATCACCGATGTCTCGTGACTGGATTCATATCGCCTCGAAAAGGAGTCAGATAGCCATGGAGTCATGCCGCCACCTTGGAGTCCGTTGATCTCGGCTACCACCCCCTGACCTCGACGTCGATTGCAATGCTCCTGGCGCGAACGCCGAACCTTCGCAGGCTGCAGTGCGGCATGATGCGCGGGCTGGAGGCCGTGGCCGGGGTGCGAGCTGCTGCGGGACCTGGACCTCTGCGTGGCCTACGACGGCGAGGCCCGCGCCGCCGCCGAGTTCCTTCGCCGCGCCACCCAACTGGTCAAGGTGGAGCTCCACTATGAGAGGATGGGGGGCGTGGCCCCGTCCGCAGACATGGAGTTTCTGCTGGCCCTGGCCGCGACCGGGCGCTCACACCTGGAGGACCTGTCAGTCAGCTTGGAGAATTGGGAACTGGAAAACATGAACCAGCAGCAGGCTCTGCTCAAGGCGCTGCCCCGCCTGCCGGCGCTCAAGCTCCTGGAGGTGCGAGGCGTGGCCAACGACGATCTCCTGCTCGGCATCACGCCCGGCAACGCGCCGGCCCTGCGCACCCTCGAGGTGCTCAGAATAATAGGCGTCAGGTGTGCGCAGGCCGCACTGCATCAGGATGCGGTGCAGAAACTCCTGTCATTGAACCCCGAGCTGAAGTTTTCCACGTATGTGCAAAGCTATTGCTACACAGGTGATCGTTGCGCGTGATGTTCGCTGGGCTGCCACCAGGAGATACGAGAAGATGCGGACATACCACCCCAGTATATCCAAGCCGACTGGGTCCCCATTCCTCGACTGTGAAATTTTGAAATGATTTGTATATTTATTTTTTTCATTTTAATGTGATACTAAGTTTAGGAATATCAGCTCCTTCTATCTAGACTAAAAACTTGAATATTTTTTTCCTTTTTGCTTTTTACTTACACTTGAAATATATTATGATTTGTGTGGTAGAATCATATCCTTGCTTTTTAATCAACCAGATACCAGTGAGGACGCGGAAACAAATATTGAGGGGGGGGGGGGTACGCTTACGAGGTTTGTAAGGTAAGTAAGGGGACTGTCTAAAAACGGCATAAAACTCTGTGTTTCTCAGATTCATTCGGCAAGATACGGTGGTAGGCTCGGCGCCTGCCAGACTCGGGGTAGGCCACCCCGCTGTACACGCATGCACTTGAAGGCAAGTTGTTGCCTACCTATCAGGCGCTTTGAGAGCTTGCATCCCATTTCCTCGCGGAGGGAAAAACTGATGTGCGAGCGGTATTCGAACCACCAACCACCCTATCGGATATCGGCGAGGGGGCGGGGGGCATTCCTTGCCCTTAAGCCCCCCCCCTCCCCGCCCACAGCTCCCGCCGCGTGGGCGCGCGCGCATCCGCTTTTCTTAACTTACGCCCCCCCCCCGCCCCTACCGCACCGAGGCTGCTCTCGCTGGGTCGGCCTTTGGGTCCGGATGCACCCCCTTTGCACCTCCACCACGGACGTCTCGAGGGTTTTTGTAAAACGATTCGTGTGTGCAGGGAGAAATCATGCGCGAGGCATGCTGCAAGAAGGTAATTTATTTAAAATA